GGGTCTCACCATGTAGTTCAATCTGGCCACAAACTCATTATGTAGCCCAGGCTGGCCTTCAACTTTTGGCAATCCAGCTGCGTCCCCCTCCCAAGTGCTGGGACTACAGGTATACAAAGTCACCCCCAACTTAGATCTTCTTTAGACCTGGCCTATGACAGCCCAATACATAGCAACCTGATGACAACTAGAGATTCAAGCCTAGTCTTGAGCACACAAGTGAAGTCAACACCCCCGAAGCCTACTATGTCAAGAGTATCTGAGCTACTTGTCAGCATGTGAGCCAGCAGTCATTCCCAAATACCTGTTCTTGCTATGAAGAAAAAGGGAAGCTCAATAGCGTATTATAAATTATATATATATATATATATCATAGCTCACTTATGGACACTGGGAGATGTTTCCAATTGTGCAGCAATAGACAGAACCAATATTAAAATGGAACACCGGAAAAAGCATAAGTTCTCATTGGTGACACAGTTAAGCAAATATGCCACTGACAACAAATGTGTCTGCAGAATTCTTTAGGGCTTATATATAAGAAATACTAAAGCATTTTAATAAACCCCAAGTTTATCTCCTTACTTATAAACCTTAAATTACAAAATAGGGGAGTCCAACCTAGTAGTGAGACCATGAACACCCTATAGGCCCTTCCCTAAAAAAAAAAAAAAAAAAAAAAATAGGGAACTTGTCTATAACATCAACAAATCTCCCCACTACATATAAAACCTCATGATAACTAGGAAGCTGCCACATGCATGAATGTGATTCTCATTTACCATGAAAGGATAGAAAACCCTGAGTTCTCAAAATATTGACCAGTGGATAAGGATATTTGAACCCAAACTATCCAGTGCATCTGAACAGTACCAAAGGATGCACATAAAGCCATTCATACTTTGGTAGGGTTTGAATAACCTTTGTCCTCCCACATTTAGGCTGAAATAATCCCTACTGTGAGAAAGTTTCAGTAAGAGAGGGGCAGCTTAGTTTTATCATGGTATTCCACAGTGGGTGGGGATGTGGGAGGTGATTAGGGTTACCTAAGGTCCTCAGAGTAGAGGCCTGGGGAGAATCCTGGAGGCTTTGTAAGAAGAGGCAAAGACAAGGCATGTGCTGACACACCCAAATTCCCTGCTTCCGGCTAAATGCTACTCTGTGGCACCTGGGTCCTCTTCTAGCAAGAAGGCAATCACTACAACCAGTAGCTGGGATAATCCTCTTTTCAGTATAAAGCAACCTGTCTCAGGTACTTTGTTACAGTAATAACTAACGGACTAATCCACACTTTTGGAATGATGTGTAGGAGTAACTAAGAGATGGTAGCAACCACATGCAACACCTTCCTCTGCCCAGCTAGCACAGTTGGCCAGACATCCTCACTGTGGAACAACATTGAGATCAACAATGCCAAAAATCATAAAATAATTTTATACAAGGAATGTGTGACACTATTACATCCTTCACAAAGGGCACAAGGAGAATGAGCAGAGGAAATAGTACTGTCACCTTCAAAACTAAAGGCCACAGCACTTTTGTTGCCCATCAACAGAACAGCCCAGACAGGCATTCAGAAGGACAGGCCTGTCCACTCAAAGTCTCTCAAGCATCCTAAAGCAATTCCACAAGTGCTGAGCACATGGACCTAGTAAAACTCATCTCAGTTGAAGGCAGGATAAAAATGGATTTAACCAGGCATGGTGGTGTACTCAGAGGCTGAAACAGGAGGATCACCATGAGCTTGAGGCCAGCCTGGACTAGATAAGAGGGATCAAGGCCAGCTGGAACTACATAGCAAGACCCTCAAAAAAATAAAAACAAAATAAGTAAATAAATGAAAAACACATTTAGATCATATAGCATTAAATAACTGTGGATCACAGAATAAGAAAGTTAATTCACTTTTAATTTTCTACCTGGATAATTAAAGAAAAAAATCCCAAGTTGGTATGAGATTATCTTTAACTTTTATAGTTTTAAATCATTTCACAAGTGTAGGGAGCCTCGGAAGCTGGAAAATAAGTCGAAGGTATGTAGGCAGGACTGGGCCTCAGTGCCTAAAGCAAACAAGCTACCTCAGTCCTGAGATAAGCATCCTGACTGGTTAACGTCAGCTACTAGTCACTAGGCAACCTTGCATCACGTGTTACTAACTTTGCAAAGGTATAAATAAATGTAGGTTTCATTGTGCTCGTGCCTGAGTCTTGCCCATCAGGCAGAGTGCCAACCACCTAGCCCAGCTTCTGTCTTCTTGTCTATCTTTCTCATTCCTTCCACTTTGTCTCCCCAGGTAGAACCGTTCGCAGTGAGACCAACAGTTCCCTACACACAAGGAGAGAACAGACCAGAAACAGGCAGGCAATACCTCAACTACAGTTGATAAATATTTGTGTCACTGTAATTATCTTCAGTCACTTTCACGTTACCGTCAATGAATATCTGTGTGGATAATATATGGATTCCTTTCAAAATAAATTTAATGTGCTGGCCCCACCCCTCAGGGTGCGCTGAGACTGCGATTAAGACTCAGCGTGGTGGGGCGCCTGCAATCCCAGCACTTGGGAGGCTGTAAACTGACAAATCACTACAAGTCCAATCTAGTAGTGAGATCCTAAACATGCTGTAGGCCCTTCCCTAAAATACAGAAAAAATAAAAATAAAAAACAAATTTAAATATCAATTTTAAACCAATTTAATGAACGTATGCTAAGTGTATAATGATCACACAGCTGGTAAAAATAGAGAAAATTACTATAGCAATGAAAAATGGACTAACAGCAAAAGATGAAGGTGTTGTCAAAAATAAGTAGAGTTGGGAAGAACAGAAAGAAACACCACAGGAAGTCAGGAGAGAAAAACACTGCCTGAGCTTTTATACTAATTAGGCCTGGAACCTTAATGTAATTCAAAGCTCACTAGACTCATTTTCTTACCCCAAAAAATGAGAAATCATCTGGGGTCGGGTTTTCCGAATTTTAATCCCCTGCATGCAACAGCACAACTGCTGCCACACCTATATACTGCCTAAACCATTAGAAATGCAATTTTCCGGGCTGGTGAGATGGCTCAGTGGTCTAAAGCACCTACTTAGAACAAACTTAGCAAAGCCCAGGGACCACGGTTCAATCCCCCAGCACCACATGCCAGCCAGTCCGCCCCCTGGTGGGCTGAGCTGGCCACACACACACACACATACACACTAATAAATAAATAAAATAAAAAAAAAAAAGAAATGCAATTTTCCTTAGAATAAATTTTTAAAAATTGAAATACACTTTAAATAGGATACCTTAATATTACTAAAAAGCAAAATCTAGCATTTGTAATGCACTTCAAAATATAATCAATTTTTACTTATTCATGTACCACCTAAAGTCCAGTAAGACAGGAGTCAGATTTTGGGTGACAATCCTAAGGCAGAGCTCCCCTTCAATTCTCTGAGGATGCCATATTCAGCTATCAGGTGACAGGAATGACAAGGTATCTGTGCCCTTCACCCTAGGGAGTGGCCACAAAGGACTTGGCCTGCTGCAGCCCCTTGGGCTGTCTGCTTCTGATCACAGGCAGTCTCCTTTGCTTATAATAGCAGACTTTGTCTTATATTAGCATTGTTCTACAGCTATGATATTTTATTATACAAATTTTTTCCATGTTTATTTTCAATTTTCTTTCTGCTCTAATGTAATATTCACATAGATACAGCCTTACTCACCAACCATTTTCATTTTTCCTCATGAACAGCTTCTGTTCTTTATCTACAGAAACATTAGAGGATATACCTGGGAAGAGAAGCAATGTTTTATTAACACTGTTATAGTACACATTTAGAGAATTTCTAATCCTACTTTTATTCTGGAACTTGGAGAGCTAAAAAAGTAAGACTCGAAGTATCTGTGTGTGTGTATGTGTGTGTGTGTGTGTGTGTGTGTGTGTGTCTCAAACACACACACACGGCACACACAAAGTATGGTTCAAAAGTAAAGGTAAATTGGGCATGGTGGTATACATCTATAGGCCCAGCACTCGTGAGGCTGAGGCAGGAGGATCCTCTCAAATTCCAGGCCATCCTGGGATACACAGTGAATTCAAGGCCAGCCTGAACTACATAGTGAGATCCTCTCTCAAAAGCAAAACAAAACAAAACAAAACTCTAAATGTACAGGTTTTTTGCGAAAAATAGTAGAAGTTATTTAATTCCCTTCCCTGAAAACTAATGACTTAACAAAATAAGCAAAATTAAACTCCCCCCCCAAAAAAAAAGTAAAATGAAAGAGGATAAATTCATTTATAGTAGAAACTGGACAAATTAGAACCTTAAGTCACGAAGTACAAAGAACATCTACCATCTAACAAAGTTGCAATCAAAGCCAAGAAAAAGAAAAAAAAAAAACAACCAGATGCTAAAACCCATGCATTCACCTCCAGGTTGCAGATGCAGAGCTCATTTCTCTAAGAGTGACTGAGAAGTGCCCAGTGTCCCCAACACTTTTTACTAGGACCATGACTTGGACAGGTCACAGCTAGACCCCAGGAGAGTAAAACATTCCCAGAGAAGGAAAATAAAGACACGACATCAGATGCATCTGACCAAGTATCTCCTCTACGGACATCTTGTCTCAGTAACACTATTTACCCAGTTCCCCAGATGAGAAACTAGAACACCTATCATCCTTGGTTCTTTGTTTGTTTTTGGTAATGCTAGGGATTGAACCCAGAGCCTCATGCATGCTGGCCAAGTGCTCTACCATCGCGCTTCATCCCCAGTCTTCATCCTTAGTTCTCTTCCTCATCCTGCTTCCGGACATCCACCCCACTGACACATCCTATCAACTCTACCCCACAAATCTCACTTCAGCTTCAAAACTACCAGCATCTGCTCTTGCCCAGACCACTGCACTAAGTAGTGCAGCCCTATGCTAGTGTTGCCCAACCTGCGCTTCCCACATTTGGTCCAAAATAGGGGGCTCAGATCACTCCCTGCTTAAACTCCTCACTCACTAGGACAGAACCATATTCTCAGAAGAGACAAGGTCCTAAGACTTCTGGCTCACTCCTTCCTCTCCTTTCCTTCCTAAATCTTGTCTTTATTCTATACTTCAGCCACACTAGCTGTGGTGCCATTGTACTAGCTGTTAAATCCATGAGAAAAGCAAAGAGCAGGATCTAAGAACTGTGGGCACAGCCAAGCTGGGATTCACGTATGAAGACCACGGAGAGACATAACCCCGCATACAGCCTTGTTTCCTTGGTGATGAGTGGATTAATCAAACAGCGCTGGAATGGAAAAGCTACTAACTTTGTATCACAAATATTACTAGAACCGAGACGTGAACTCATACAAACATTTTTTTTTAAGAATGTTTCATTTTTAATATTTATTTATTTTGTGTCTGCGTATGGCCGGCTCAGCCCACCAGGGGGTGGGGCTGGCTGCCATGTGGTACTGGGGGATTGAACCGCGGTCCCTGTGCTTTGCTTAGCTTAGCTTGTTCTAAGTAGGTGCTTTAGAACACTGAGCCATCTCACCAGCCCCAAAATCAGTCTACCCACTAAGAGCACGATTTCTTTTTTTTTGTTTGTTTTTGTTTTTGTTTTGTGGAACCGGGGATTGAACTCAGGACCCTGTGCTTGCAAGACAAGAGCTTATTCTACTGAGCCATCTCCCTGGCCCCCCAAACATGTTAAGCCTATATGACGTGACTACCACGCCTGTAATCCCAGCGCGCAGGGGGGGTGGGGGCGGCTGAAAACAGGATCACTATGAGTCTGAGCTGCAGAGTGAGACCCCGTACCAAAGACATAAAAAATAAAAATAAGTTTTTTAAAGGGCTGGTGCACAAAGTCCAGGGTTCTATCCCTACAAACATAAATAAGTAAACATAAATCAAGTTCCAAGAAAACAGCTGTTTGTATGCCAATTCAGAAAAATACATGTGAATCACTTCATCCCCAAATAAATTCTGGCAAGTATTGTAAATAACACAGGTAACCAGTAGAGTCAGGATCAAAAGCTAGAATTCTTCCTGTCCTAACTTTTACATTCTCCTTCCTCTTACTGGGTTTTCAAGCGTTCCCCCGCCCCTCGCCCCGCAAGCACTGCCTCAACTCTGTAATTTTAACACTTAGAAAAACCAATCTCCATACTCCCTGGCACGAAAAAGTCGCTGAAAAGCTTAATTTCTTGAATAAACCACTAAGAATATTACTAATTAATTGCTCGCTGATTCCCGTGCGAGTCACACCTACTGTACAGGCTACATCCCAAATGCCTGAATACTGCTCGCGACGACGCAGACCCAAGCGATGCTCCTCCCGGATGGGGAATCCCAGAACTGATCGGCACCCCTGAGTCCACCTGCAGCAGCGACCGGCCTTCTCCACTGTTTGCACAAGGGCACCTCCCCTCCCTGCGGACCGCCCGGGTGCGACAGTGCGGGGAGGAAGGCTGCCCCAGCCCAGCCCAGCCCAGCCAGCCAGCCCTGCCGGAACTGACAGCGCAACAGGATGCAGTCGGATTCCTCCTGACCGTCCACCCAGCTCAGCGAGTCGCCCAGCGGCCGCCGGCAGCGGGAGCACAGGAACACCAGCGGGTTCTCCCCCTGCGCCCCCTGCCCCGCCTCCGCCTCGCTCTGCGCCTTCGCCTGCCGGGCCACCGAGGTGTCCCCACTCGCCGAGCTCCACATGCTCATCCACTTCTGGAGCAGCTGGTGGCGGTTCGAGTCTTCCAAGAGCCGCCGGCCCAACAACGAGGAGTTGTTCCTCTTGTCCTTGTGGTTACACGCACAGGAAACGGAGGAACATCCACCATCACAGTACGAAGGCCAAGCTCCCGCCATTGTCTACAAATCTCCCGCGCCCCAGGGCGCCATGGGAAAAATACGCCTGCGCATGCGCGGGCGGCGTGGGGGGGGCCTGGACCCGAGGGGCGGGGCCTGAGTCAGAGGGGCGGGGCCTGAGGGTGGGCGGCCGGCAACCTTTAGCGCGCAGGCTTTACTTCCGGCCGGGAGTTTGTGATTACTGAACCTGCTTCGCGTTCTAAAGAAATTGAGTCTACTAGAGATCAAGTGGGTTATCTGCTTGGGAAGGGGCGGCGTCATGTAGAAAGTCAGCAGCAAGCTCCAAATTGTATTACGGGCGCTCAGGATCGCGGAGCTGTTTGACTTGCAAGTAGGGCAGAGGTTCCTTTCAGGGTAGGATGGTTGAGGCAGATCCCTGCCCAAGAAAGCCAGCCTCTGTGGTGCTCAGAACAGCACGGGCCAGTGTGGAGAATTGTGCTTATTTTACCATTGTTTCTTTAAAAACCACATTGCAACTGAGTGGTGAGTTTGTAGTGTGTAAAACATTTACCTTTTCACAATGTGAGGTAGACACAAAAACTACACACAATCGCTAGATGATCTGCTCCTCGTGTCTTATGGAATACCATTTTTATTTCCTGACCCAGGATGAGTCAGAATGCCCTTTCAAGTACAAACATACACTTCGTTCTGGCCCCCTTGACCACTAAGGATCAATCTCCATGTATTTATCAGTTAATTTTACTGGAAAGACTTTCTAGCAATACCAACGGTATTAGACCCTGCCAAACAAAGATTAGCCTTCAGACAACATCTGGCCATCTTTATAGCACTAAGATGGACGAGAGAACCACCAGGACCAAATGAAAGCATTCCTGAGGGGATGTTTTCAAACCCTCTTGTGCTAAAATCAAGCACCAAAAGCTCAGCCTTTCACCTGATGGCACATTCTGTCGCTCTCTTGCAGTCTCTCAGCATACTCTTAACTTTCCCGTATTCCTCAATGTTAGTAAATTCTCTTTACCACCTGCAGTACTGGTCTCTCACACACCACGCCTTGCACAACAGTGAGGAGAGAAAGCTGGCAGGGGCCACACCGGAGACAATGAGGCAGCTCCCGGAAGGAAGCCTGCCCCTAAGGGCCTACATCTTCCTATAGTACTTTGGGTGTTGTGTCAATCACTGCCCACTTGTTTAGAAAAACTACAGTACTTCAATAAATTGATTTTCAATTGTAATGCTTCTGGCCAATAACAAATACCAAAGCTTTCAAGTCAGAAGTCATCCCTCCATTTGGTAACAGGTAAAAAATTGTGGAAAAGCTACTTGCCTTCTCTACCCACTTGTGCCTGAAGAAAATGGATCAGTACTGCCCCGGGTTGTTTTTGTTTTGTTTTGTGTGTGTGTGTGGTTTTTTTTTGGCGGAACTGGGGATTGAACTCAGACCCTTGCACCTGCCAGGGAAGCACATATTCCACTGAGCCATCTCCCCAACTGCACCTGGTTGTTAATGAGAATCAAATGACACAGGTATGTTAGCCCTAAAACACTGCCCCAGACTCCAGTTGGTTAGCCTTCAACTGGGAGAAAACTATTCAAATAATTTAGGCCTTTTTTTTTTTCATCTATAGAATTCTCTTCCCTTTATCTTGTCACCAGACAGAGTCTGAGGAGGTCACCGAAGCACAGATGGGAAATGATAGGTTCTGGCCCTAGTACGAACTACTGCATCATGGCCCAGATTCAACACAGCTGACTCCCCAAGCAACAGCTTATCTTCCCAATGACCACTTCCTCCTCCTTCCCCACACCAGCCCTGGATACAACTTCCTCTTACCCTTCCTGCGCACATAAGGGAGCCTCCAATCAGCTCCTTGTGTGTTCCTGAACCTGCCCCTTAACTCCACCCCCAGGAAAAGTCCCTAAAGTCTCATCCTCCCTGTCTCAGGTCAGAGGATCTGCCCATCTCCCTGCCCTCAATCCTCTCAGGGTCTTCAGAGGTAGTAAAGGCTTGTCCTCCCTCTTATTTCTGTTTCTGTGTGGAGCAGCCAAGAAAACCTAATGGGAAATGTGTGCTCACCCCACTCAAAGGACTGGTTGCCAGTTCACTGACTTGCACTGTAGAAAATAAGTTTATTTGATTGGCTTAGAAATCAGGCAGCTAGCTACCAATAGGGGAAGGGCCTGAGAAAGAGTTGTTTGATCAGCTGTACTGATAAAAATAAGCAGGAACTAGGATTTAGACCCCAGATGAACTAACCTAGGCAACTTGAAAAGCAGCTCCTTCTCTGCTAAAGGGAGGTGCAGCCATTCCCCACTAAACTCTTGAGTTTGGGTACAAAATAACCAGTTTTCTCTAAAATCTCAATGTCCTTTAAACCCTGCAGGCTGAAGCACTAGATTAGAGATGCTGAGTTCTAATTGGTCATTTTAAATCCATGGAGCCCCTGTGATAGGTGGCCACTACATTTTAGTTCCTGTGCTCTGCTTATCTCCCATTAGGCCTAGCTAGAGGGGACTATGGGGGAAATAGCCCCCACCTGGAAATCCAAAACTCTCATAACCTTTTCCTTTGGTTTTTTATTTCATTCCTCAATGTGTATGGAGCCATGAGAGTGGTCCATAGGGAAACCCATCACAGAAAAAGAATTTTCAGGATGCATCAGTAAGAGGCATAAAGGAAGGAAATCAATAGGTAGAGCGTTAAATAGAGTGCAGAGCCTTAAAAGACAGGTACACTGTAGTCTGCACAGCACAGTTAGAAACAAAGGAGTTGAGTCACTCCCTTCCCTTGTCCAACTGTAAATACCATGCCACCCTAACAGTTATGCACGCTTCCGTAACTTTAAGACATTGTGTGAGCCACTTCTCTCCATTCAACTATAAATGCAACACCACCCTAATGATTATCCAAGTTTAAGCTTATTAAGTGAGGTAGATTGCTGACATCAGAGAAAGAGACATTGTGAGGCATCTTGGATCAGAGATGCCTAACCCTATAAATATGGGAAGCCTAAGTTATTCACACACATGCACACACACACACACACACACACACACTTCACCTTATCTGTTCTGGCTGCTACCATTCCTTGATTGTCAATAAGCAGAGCTCACTACATACAACAAGGTGTACCCTTAGCAGTTCTTTCCTTGTCATACACAAAAAACTCCCAGCTCTTGGGAGGCTGTAAACAGGCAGATCACTACAAGTCTGATCTAATAGTGAGACCCTGAGCACCCTGTACACCCTTCCCGAAAATACAAAAAAAAGAAAAAAAAAAGAATTGACTGGTTGAAATTACACCTGCCCAAGTGACACTCAGGTAGTCAATATGTAAACAAACACACTGCCCAAGTGATGCTTGGGTAAACTGGGGCTTTTATTGAGTGGGTAAATTACTAAGTGGTTCCAATTTGGTTTGAAAATGTCTCCTTGCTATTTGTTTCTCAATAAAATTATGGAAAAATAAAAAAAAATTACTAAGTGGTTAATATATGAAAAGATTCTCCACCATACTTATTTCTATAGTGCACTGAAATTCAATAGCTTATCTCTTAGTTTGATAAAATCCAAATGTTTTACAAAAGATCTGTTCTCTAAAAAACAGTTAATTTCATATGTTGCTGATAGGAGTGCCTGATACTGCAAACACTATGGAAAGTTAGCAGTGTCTAACACAATCATATAACTGCATTATTTGACAGATGCAAGTCATGCACTGTCTAACATTTTACATTTGTTTGTTTGTTTAAGAAAGGCTCTCAAAAAAAAAAAAAAAGAAAAAAGAAAAAAAGAAAAGAAAAGAAAGGCTCTCACTACGTAGTGTGGGCTGGCCTTGAACACATTTACTGCCCAGGCTCGCCTCATTATTATGATAACCCTTCTGTCTGACTTCTATAGAACTCTGCCTCCCAAGGGTTGGGATTACAGGCCTGCACCACCACACCTGGCTCTAACAATACTTTAGGCAATACATCCCTGGTATTAAGTGACACATATCTCATTTCTAGGAATTGATTTCTATAGAACACTGGAAATAACATGGCACAAACAAAAACACATATTGTTGCAGCACTGTTTACAACAGCAAAGATGGAAATAACCCAGCATCCACCACTTGGGAACTGAATGAACCAAGTATAGACATTCACACAATGCAAATATAATGCATCTATATCATGGCAAGAGCTTCCTTTTTTTAAGTATTTGGTACAGGGTGTCACTGCACAGCTTGGACTCATAGTGATCCTCCTGTTTTCAGGCTCCCTAGTGCTGGGATTACAGGCGTGCACCACCATGCCCTATGCCAGCTCAGTGTGCCCTGGGGTCAGGTCCAGTGCTGCATGTGGTGCCGGGGATCGAACTTTAGTCCCTGTGCTACCCTAAGCAGGCCCTTAGTCCACTGAGCTATCTTGCAGGCCCAGAGCTTCTCTTTTAAAATGTAATTTGTTCCCTGGCAAGTACTGGGCCTGAGTTTAATCCCGGGTTTTGAAAAAAAAAAAAAAAAGTTTAAAAAAAGAAACAAAAAATGAAAAAAAAAATGGAATTTGCTAATGCACATCTAAAAAGGGAGAAGGGAAAATATACATACCCATGTGTTTTGTCTAAGATGTAAATAATTCTTGTTTGTTTTGTTTTGTTTTGTTTGAGACAGGGTCTCGCTATGCAGTTCAGGCTGGCATTGGACTCACTATGTAGCCCACGCTGGCCTCAATCTCTCGGTGATCCTTCTGCCTCCCTAGCGCTGGGACTACCAGCCGGCATGTGCCACCACAGCTAGATCCATGCATATTTTAAATAGAAAGATACACAAAAATTTTTAAGTTTTTACTTGGGTGAAAGTAATAGGAAACTAGGAATAGAATTGGAATATCTACAAATATATCTTGTTTTGTATAATTGACTTTGGACTTTGGTAATCATTCTACACAATTATAAAACAAAGTGATTTCTAAAAAAGAAGATAGAAAAAGAAGATAGAAAATAAGATAGAAAAGTAAATCAAAGGCACGTTGAAAGGAAGAAATACAGTTGCCTGCTCACAAATGACATAATTGT